CAATCAAGCGTGCAAGATCCACTAGAAATGAACAGAAAACAAATGGAGCAAATCGGAAATGCACTCGGAAATGCAAATAAAACAACAAAGGAAAAAGCAAGGGAAGCATGCAGGACCCATCGGAAATGGGGGAAAAACCCAAAAAGCAACCAAACCTCACAAGACCCATTGGAAATGGGAGGGAACCATAAAACAAACAAGCCCCCCAAGACCCATCACAGCACAGAAACATAACCCCCCAGCCCAAAACCATTCTGCAAAAACACCCAGAACAGTTTTTTTAAAAAGCAGAACACAGCACCTTACCTTATCAGGCAGCCCAAAGCCTCCCTGAAAACACACACACACACACAGAGAAGCAGAAGTGAGGCAGTCCCAAGCCTCCTCCAATGCACACTGTCTAACTGCTTGGGCAAAAGAGCTACAAAGCAGCAGCCTTGTCACCATCTACACTTAGCAATTTGAATTTCCCGCCTTTTTCCCCTGCCTTTTTCTGTTTGTAAGTGGAAGTTCTGGCCACAAGTAGAAGCCAAATCTTGCAGCCAGAGTGGTCATAACTCAAAATGGTCATAAGTAGGGATGTTCGTAAGTCAAGGGACCACTGTATTGGAAAACTTTTGTCTCAATTCTAACTGAGATAACTAGTCAAACAAGAGATTACTGTGGTCATCATTTGCTTTTATAAATTTTAACCATAATAACAGTTCGTCATTGAATAAAGATTTGAACATAATATTATTAGCAGCTGCAAGGATGGAAATTTCTAAAAAATGATGTTTTGTTGATAGATACCTGTATAGGTTGGATATGGTATAGCTAATGAAAGACTGACAAGCTAAATGAGGATAGCAAAAGGAATAAAAAAGGAAGAGTGATTTATGGGAATTTGGTCACCATTTTTATATTTATCAATGACAATTCTACGTTCCTGGGACCACCACAAGACCAGCTTACACCAGGAGATACGTCATGTAGAACTCTCGACCTTTAAAAGGAGGACTTCAGTCAAAATATAAAGTGCTCCAAAACCTTCTGCTTACTTTATCACTGCTACCCAGATAGAACAGCAGGTTATCAGGTTCAGTTGTTTTAACATTTAATGTCAATGTATTGTAATTAGTAGACAGTATCTGGGGTTGATAGGCACGAATACAGTCTCTTTCTGCAGACACTGCAACTTTAATCTAAAAAAAAGCAAAGGAAAATGGTTTGCATGAAAGGTTTGCATGAAAGTTTGAGTTTCTTGAGATGAATATTTGGCTATTTAGTACTACAATTATTAATGAAACAATTATTTGCTCAGATTTTGTTGTCTTGAAATGCATCTGTTTACATCTTTAAATACATCCAATTAGAAGTGCTATGCATGATGCTTCAATGAGTCTCTCCTTATAGCCTTGCAAAATATTTTGACTACATTTTCCTGATCTGCAACCTTGAGCACTGCATGACAAACTATTGTTTAAACGTCAAGGAATTCATATACAGGCATAATGCAGTCTGTACTGAAAAGAAGAAAAGAAGTACAATTCCTATGCATAAAAATTACTATGACTTCAGAAAGTTACTATCATTTTCCCCACCAGAAGGCAGAAAAAATGTAAGTTGGTTACCGAAGCTGCCTGTTTGCGAGCTTGACTGATGAGTTCCTTAATTTCAGAAATGTTTCTGCTCAGGTTTTCTTCCAGTACTTTTAGAGGCTTCAGCCTATCAAATAAAAGACCAGCCTGGATTTCAACTTCGTTCAATTTTCTTTCCACAGAAGCTGCTGCCAAAAGAAAAAATAGGCTTCTGGTAAGGTTATTATTGTTCCAATCATATCAGATGGGGTGGTGGTGTTATTGCATTAGCAGGAAATACATATGCATCCAAATACATGTGCAAACTCATGTGCTCTCTCACACACTCAACTGTACAAAAACCACATGCAACCAACTATTCAAGACAGTTATTGTTACTGCCTAACCACTTATGATTCCTTGCAATTGGAAAGATCTTTTTCAGATCTCATTTACATACATCCTGCTGTATGAACGTAGTAGCCAGCTTAATGTAAATAAAGATATGAGACACTTCGGTTTAAAAATTAACCCTCCATTGACATTTCAAGAAATCAGTGAAGCAGTAAACCTACCAGCTTTTGATGAGTCGATTATAAGTTCATTGGTTTTCTGCAACGTCTCATTAACCTTAGACAATGCAGATGAAGTGTTCTGCAATTTCTCGCTAAAAACCCCAGCACGGCTTAAACTGCTGAGAGCACTCACATTAGCCAACACAGCCAGTTCTTTTACAGCAAGAATATTTTTACTGGTATCTGAAACAAATGATAACACAAGCTAGTTATCTATCATCCTTTTCCTAACTAGGGTGGAATACGAGGAAACTAAGTCTCAACTATCAGTCTTACAACTAAACTGGACAGGATGAAAGAGATCTGGGAATCAGGTCCACCATCGGTTTCTTTGGAGATTAATCTAATTTTATTGGATGTTCACCACATTTTCCCCTCCAAATGAAGCAAGGAGGCTCAGAACAATACTGAAGAAATATATATAAATTATGTCTATGCCAGTGGCAGAACAAAGAAGAGGAGTTATTCCCAAAATCTCAATAGAAAGGTTTCTGTGGGAGAATACTATGTAGCTTAGATTCAAGCCACTTTTGACAATAAATCAGTTGCAGATGAGGAAATCAGTATTTCCTCAGGCCATTTTCCTCCATAATAAATGGACATTACTCTCTAAGTACAAGCATACAGGTACTAACAGTATTAAATTTTTTAAAAAAAAACACCCTCTAGTGTATCAACATTACGCTGTAACACTGTAAAGTATATTATAGCCACTGGCCATTAAAACCATGAATATATACATTAAAACATACAATAAAATGATATAACAATAATAAGGTTGTATATCTGATAAGCTATGTAGGTTTAGGCAAAAGGTTTAGGCAAAAGGATGTTATATTCTCAGGGAAATCATGAATTAAGTGTTATGCCACCTACGTGGTGGTGCTGCGGGCTAAACCGCAGAAGCCTGTGCTGCAGGGTCAGAAGACCAGCAGTAAGATCGAATCCACGCGACGGAGTGAGCGCCCGTCACTTGTCCCAGCTCCCGCCAACCTAGCGGTTCGAAAGCATGCAAATGCAAGTAGATAAATAGGGACCACCTCGGTGGGAAGGTAACAGGGTTCCGTGTCTAAGTTGCACTGGCCATGTGACCACAGAAGATTGTCTTTGGACAAATGCTGGCTCTATGGCTTGGAAACGCGGATGAGCACCACCCCCTAGAGTCAAACACGACTGGACAAAAATTGTCAAGGGGAACCTTTATCTTATGCCACCTATGGACTAGGCAGGCATTATGTCAATTCTGTGTGTGAAGATTACGTGTTGTTAAGAGGCATCCTCCATATGTTACTCTAATTGTATTTTCAAGGTGAGATATTTCAGGAGCGGTTTTATCAGTGCCCCTTCCCCAGTAAGTTTCCATAGCTGAGCAAGGATTCAAATCCAGGTCTTCTGAGTCCTAGTCTGTCACTCTATCCATACACCACATTGGGTACCTGCCAGACTGGGAATAAGTCTGCTATCAGATGGTAGCTAAATACACATCTCATCAACACTCTTCTCTGTTTTCTATGTCTCTTCACTCTGAAATCTTAAAAACCCTACTGAGTGACCCACTTATACCTGACTGTTCTTCTCCCCTGACTCTTATAACCTAATAGCTGAATTCTTGTTGCACAACTCTGCACCATGTCAGGCTGATGATGTGAAATTACCCCCTTGGTGGCAATTTTCTAACATTAAAGAACTCATTTATACACACTGCATTAATATTTAAATTGAGGTTCCTTTCAGCCCACAGTTACATTTCCTTGCCCCTTAATGTCCTGAGTAGTAAAATGGCTGTTTCTAATCTTAAGGGAACAATTGGCTCATTGAAAAGTATTAAGTTAATTGGGCTTCAAAAGCAGACTCAGCATCTTGGGTGGAAAAGTGCTTTCAAACATTGCAACAATTGAAGAAACTTGAGAGTGTAAAATAAAACTTTTTTTCCCCTACTGCAGATCTGACATTATATTCAGTTAGATGAAAACCCAGATAAAGACTCTTGGGGCTCATCTACACGAGGCTTTAGGAGTGATCTGAAGTGGGCTAAATAGGGTTGCTAGAAGATTTGATATACAAGAAAATGAACTGGTGCATCCAACAAATCTGATTATTAGAAAAAGAAACTGCAGTCTCAGGATATCAAAAAATAAAACCTTTATTAGAGTTGGCCAAGACATTTTAGCCTGAAATTAATTGGATACTTAATCTATCAGAGCTGTGCACAGACCAAATGAAGGAAAAAGATCTAATACAGACCTGAAATCAACGCCCCTGAAAAAGGCCAAATATTCAAGATGGGTCTAACTTACCTTTTGGCAATGCATTTAGCTGCAACAATGAGTCATTAACTTGCTTAGCTATTCCACCAGCTTTTTCTTTCATTTTTTCCATCTTTACTTTCATCTCATTCAGTGCAGACACAAGTCCTTTAAAAAAACAAACAACCCCCCCTCAAATTATAATCCTGATATATCATCTACTCCTTATTGCCACATTTAGAAAAACCATAACATTTTGTATGCCTGTGCACAGAAAAGGTCTGCCATTTCCATCCCCTGCACCACCAATCAGCCAAATAAAGCCAAAACAAGATATGTTAAACTTAGAGAACACATATATGCTAAAAGAATGCCTGTGTAGAAAATGGTTCTAAACAGCTCAACACACTGAGCCAAGCTAAATGTGGCAGAGGAACGTGAACAAAAATGCTCTAAAACAATCAGGAAAATTCCTTGGACGAGGGTCCCTGGTATGCATCCGCTGTTCCTACAGAGTCAGTTTCAATGTAGCTTGGTGTATAAACTATTTCTTACATGTTTATATCCCTATGTTAACACGCAGCAAACATCAGTAATGGAGTATGTCATCATATTACATTTCCCACCACCCTTCCTGCAAAGATCTCAGAGTAGAGTACACTGCCAGTTCTTTTTATCTGATCGTCACACCCAAGACTGTAAGAGATGGCAGACTGTAATGGTGATTGGATCAAAATATCCCATAGAAAGCATCGTTGTGAATGAACAAACTTTGTGGCTGAATATAGTTTTGAATCCGGAACTAGCTCTCCAACAGATGATTATTATGAACTGAGTTCTGATGAAATTGTTAGCTGGTACACTCTGCATGGGAATATAAGCTTTATATCTAAACCTTTTTACAGGAGATTCTCTTGACCAGTTAGGACATTCTGACATAAGCCTCTCCAAGGAGGGAGAATTACATTCAACATCCCTCTCTGGTAACAACTCCTAGCATAGGTGACATGCTCCCTAGCATAAGGCAGCCTTCCCATTCCCTGGATTACAATTCTCATTTCCAGAGAATTGTAATCCAATTCCAACCACCACAACTATGCTGTCTAGGGATGACAGTCAAACACATCTGGTGCCAGGCTGAAGAACATTGGGACGACATTACATTTCAGCCTAATGCTAACTGGCTTCCTGGTAAATCTCAAGAAGTTTATACATGTTGTTCAGCGCTCAGTACAGCAGCCCAAACCCAACAGGTAACATGATGCTTACCTTCATACTTCTTGTGCAGGCTTTTTCCTTCACCTAAGAACTTAGAGCTAAGCTGGAGTGTATTTTTCCCAGTAGAACTAAAGGGCTCATTAGGCTTTTAAGAAAGAAAACAACAAGGAAACATGTTATACACACAATGACAAAAACCCTGTAAAGATGTGATCTTGGCATAACTGATTATTTTGTTAATTATATTGCTTATTAATGTGTGGGTGGGATTTTAGTAAATCCTTTCTAATGAATACAAATTATTTTGATGTATTCGCGAAGGCTTTCACGGCCGGGATCTAATGGTTGTGGGTTTTTCGGGCTCTTTGGGTTAAAAGCTGAGTCCTGCATTTAATGTGTTAGTCATAGCAAAATGAAATATAACAAGATCATAAAAGGGGGGGGGGAACTGAGGTGTATGGATGCATATAATCAAAATCTATTCTGGCATCACAAGCAGGTAAGTATAGACTGCAAATGTATAGAAATGGCATGTTTCATGAAAACACCAGTATTACAACAAAGTTCTTGTACAATATTTTTATAATTATTTTTACAGAGAGATAAAGCTGATCCCTGTCTACAAAGCACCTGATTGTTATAAACTGGGAAGTCAGATGCACAACAATCCAATCCCAACATATTGCCTCAAAAACAAAATTCCTGTGGCATGCAGTGGGACTTGCTCATAGGTAAGTGTGTACAGAATTGAAGGCTTTTTTTAAATCTTAAAAGTATTTTGGAATTACAAAGAATATATGACCCAATGTTGTGTTTCTTCAGCGGAACCAGGCCAACAGCTTTTATGTTTACATTTTGTGCACGAGCAAGAATGTTCTACTGTATCTGCATATCATAGTCCTACTGATAGAAAACCTTTATGCACCTACTGGGTTGTTTACCATGAAAGCAAACTGCTTCATGCTAGCTCAAACTCTGAGCAAGCACTCATTTATTTCTGTATTCCAACGAGAGCACATTTGTAATTATGACCTTACTGAGAAATAGATTGTAGGTGATGAAATGTGGAAACATAGCACAAAAGTTTTAAAAAGAAGAACTGGGAGTGTTTCAGTTCCCAAAGCAGCACTCACCACATTCATGGATTCAGTTACAATCCCAGAAGAATCAGCTGCCAGGAGCTCAGCATTTTCGACCAAACTTTTAATGGTGGAGTATGCATGGATGGCATTTGTTGCATTCAGAGACACATTTCTAACATTCAAAAGGCCACTGCAAGGAATTGGAGGGTCAGGGTGAACTCACACAGGGATTTCACTTAAAATGTACACCAATTGGAACTTTGCAAGATTTGGAGATATGCATGAAGCATTTTGAAAGTCCTTAATCTTTGCTTGAATGTTACTCTTTAAAGAAAGGCAGCACTTTGATGAAGTCAAAAACATGCTTTGTTACCTGAATACTGAACAGTACTTTCCCACCAATTCCAAAGGCAGTTACTAACTGATTTTCCCTTTGAACTTTAGTCTTTATTTGGCTTACTTATTTGGCTTATGTTCTTCAATAAAGAGAGCAGTCACCTAAATGTCTCTTTCTTTATCTTTCTATCCTCCATACCACAGCAGCTATAGGTGGTAAAATGAAAGAAAAACCTCAGAAGGACTACCACTAGGAGACCAGGTAAAGCAATCCTTTTGACTATTTGTGATTAGTGAATGGAACTAACTTTCAGTGATTGTTAGAACTTCACCTTTGCCTGATGTTGTACATGACTCATGTATGCATATGGTCTATAGACTTAAAATCCTAAACATGCAATCTCAAACTGAATGGCTTATTCCAATACTATACATGTTGCAAAATACATACAGCCAGCTATCTATTTAAGTCACTAATTTAGTCAACACGATATTTCAGTTACTGGTGAACTCACCTGATTAGTGTATTAACAATCCTCTGCAAGACAGCTGCATGGTCTTCAGTTTTGTAAACAAGATCAAGTGCTCCCCGAGTGGACATCTGCATAACTAGCTCATCCACATGTTGCCGCAACTTGCCACTCCACAGGATCAGGCCATCACGGTGGATTTCTAGGATCTAAACATTCAGCATTAGTTAATATTGAACCATGCATAGCTCACTATATCAAATTAGTACTGTAGTGTCTATTAACTTACAGATGTAGAGTTAATTACATCCTTAGCAAGAGCAGCAACAGCAGCAACCTGTATTTTTCCTTGTTCAATCAGCGTATCAGAGACTGCTTTGTCTTCTTCAATATTCTTCTTTTTATGCTATTAAATAATGACAATTATGAGTATGAACAATAGTCCATAACATATATTCTTACAGGATACATATGTTTGGCTCCAAGCAAATTTTATTTTGCATAAGCTTTTATCATCTGCAGCCCACTTTGTCAGATGCATTAGATGAAGTAACTATGTTTCATAAAAGCTTATGCCACACGAAACATGATATGGCAACTAAAACATCTCACTAGACTCTTTCATACATCCATCATTTTACAGTTCAAGGCTTATGACCTATTTTACTAATGCTAATATCAATCCATTTTTAAAATGAAATTTTCTTCAGAATCTGCTCTATACACTCAGATGTATCTAATATAAAATTCTGTGACAGACACAGATACCGCCAGTTTTCTTACATTGAATTCTTTGAAGTTCCTATTAATAAGGAAAAGAAGACGATTAGTCTCATTAATATTAGTGCTAGCTGCACTGATCACAGCCTTGGCTTCTCGAAGTACAGCGCTATGGTTTGATAAAGTACGTTTCACTGTTTTTTGCAGCTCCTTCAGCTCTTGTTCTGGTCTCCGATACTCTTTCTGGATTCTCATTAATAATCTCTCTGCAGCTCTAGTGAACACAGAAAACACAGTAAAGTAAGTCATTAAGTCTTATTAGGTTTTTTTTTCAAAGCTTGCTTTAGTTTGCAGTTCACTTGCGTTCATATGAATCCATCATATTTCTGCTTATAATAGTTATATGTGTTTAAATACATTCTTTTACCTTTCTAGGGATAAAAAACCTATCTCTTTGTATCATAACTGGATTCATATGAATGCAACTGAACAAAGTTCAGCATTCAGTCCAAACTAGATGGTACTTTAAAGATGTGGCTTACTCTTTAAGAAACACAAGAATATGATTTGGGTTGAAGGTAAGGGCCTTTTAAGCTTAGCTGCCCCCAAGCAGTCCCTATCTGTCAGGCCCTCTTTACCTAGATTTTTATTATCAAAAATGATAACTTACAATTAATGAATCATTTGGGGGCCAATAAAAATTACATGTGCAAGAACCTTATTCAAACTGGGACCACACTGAAGTGCAATGTTTTCAAGGCCCCCTACATCTCACATTAATCCTGATTTAGACTGAGACCCCTGTACTCACTGTAGACAGAAAAAAACAGCTACTGCCTCATTCAAAGGTTGGCAATGTGTGACTTTCTAGATATTGCTGGCCTACAACCTCCATAGCCTCTCACCATTGGTTATGCTGACTAGGGATGACAGCAATCACAATCCAACAACAACATTCTAGAAGGCCACACCTGATCTAATTCAGCTTTCACTATAACTTACCACAAGAGCACCTCAGCCTTCTTTCTCATCCAGGCCTAGTGCAGAGGATCATCTTCAATGTAAATAACCAGTCAAGAGGCTTATCATATAAAAGCAGGAGTGTGGAAGTGATGGCCCTCTAGAGGTTAAATTATAGCTCCCACCATCATGGTCATTAAGAGTGCTAGTTGGAGCTGGTGGGAACTGGAAGTCAATGACCTCTGAAGACCTGCAGTTTCCTCATCCCTGAGCTAAAGTACATCAAGTCATCCCATTGGATAAAATGCTCTGGTCTACATGCTTTTTAAAATAAAAATTTACAGCTGCATAGCATGCAATGTTGGAAATTAAATAACGATGCCTGTTAAATGATACTCCCTAAAGAACCTCCAGTAGAATTATATCACAGACACGGTCAACACTGACAATGTCTTTTGAGGTCACAAACCATTCAACAAAAGACAGATCTCAGAAACAAACAATTTACACAAAAGCAAAACAAACCAATCATAATTAAACCAAACAGTAAAATAAATCTTAAAATAAACAAAGGAGTAAAATAAACAAGCTTGTATTTATTGAGCGCCTGTTGATCTTGCAGCAAAGAAGCAGTGAAGCCAATTCAATAACAGGAGGGATTTCATCAGATAAACAGTAAAATACATTTAAAATGCTTTCTCTACCAGGGAAACTATAGAAAAGGGAAGAGATGATTATTTCCTGTGTAGCATCATAGTGCTGCCCATTGTGGCATGGTGATATAATAATGGACTAGGACTCAGGAGACTGTGTTCCAATCCGCACCATCCATGAAAACTCAATGGGGGGATGCAGAACTGGTAACACCATTGCTTAAATATCACATTGAAAGCCATATTAGGGTCACTATAAGTCAGTTCTGACTGGCACATATAACGTACAATACAGCATCATGGTAGAAGTTACAGTGGAACAATATGTGTAAGAGAGTTTTCAGAATCCCTGAATGGCCAGGGGCAATAACCAGTGCATCTGCTGTGTTTTTCCTAATGAAAGGTAGAAGGGTAGTACGTTCATACATGTCACTGAAAATTAGCTCTGTATGTACAAACTCTGTGGTTCCATAGATAGATAGCTCTATTTGCTTTCCCAATACGTATGTAGGAAATACCAGAATAGGAGGAACAGCACAAAATCCTGATGATCTATATCATATAATCTTTGAAATGATGTTTAGTTCTTATTTCTTCTAAAACAGACTTTAAAAAATGTACTCCCCAAATACACATTTGAGGCAATCTAAAAATCTGGTAAACCATTTTATGCTTTAAAAAAAGTAGAAGCTTGCCAAATCTACCCCAAGTTCCTGTTGTCATTTCATATTAAGTCTCTGCCTGCAGTCTGAAAACATCATAAACAAGGCTCTGTAAGCTAAATAGCAGAGCACATGTTTTGCCTGCAGAAGGTGCCACTGGTAGCCAAAAGTTAACCATATTGGGCTAGGTGCACCAGTGCTTTAACCGACTGAAGACTTCTTGGCTTGAACATTCCTTCCCCACCATAACCCACCTTGCATGCACTTAGCAACATCAGTGGACTTACTTTAACTCAAGTGTACTATTTTGGTTCAGATGCTTGAAATATCTTCGACGCATTGTGTCTAACATGGTGGGGCTCTCTTCTTGCAGGTCCTGTAATGTTCTATTGGATAACGTGAAGTCAGTACCTAGTGTTTCATTAAGAGATGCTGCCACTTCCACAAGTACTAGACAGAGGGAAAGGAAAAGTAGTTGTTGGTACAATTATGGTTTTTTTTTAAACACAAACACACAATAATTTGCACAAATAATCCCCCCCAGAGGGAGGGGAAAAATTAGTTGTTGGTACAATTGTCTTTTTTTTAAAAAAACACACACACACATACACAATAATTTGCACAAATAATCCCCCCCATTCAATTGCAGCTAAAAACAAGGCACAATCCAAAGTGATGTACATACATTAAGGCTTAAAAACAACCCAGTTGCAGTGCAATGCTCATATCTGTGTGAATTTGAACCCTTTTCAGGGTGGCTGCTAACTCTGCTAAATCAGGCTGGATTCATCACCCCCATGAATCATGGGCTCCAATTGATGTTTCTCATCCTATTTGCGGGGTGGGGGGGTTGGCGTTTCAGCACCATGGATAGCATGCAACATGTAGACTAATACCTGGACCAGATTAACTGCAGCCTTAAGCCCAGAGTCACCAGCCACCCTGGAACGGTTTGAAAATATATGTGAATACAAGAACAGAAAACCCAATAAAATTCCAAAGTCACAAATATAAAATCTATAAAAGCAACTATGAACATTACACACTTAGATGAGAGAGTTTTCTACCTGATAGTACCACTTTAATGGATACATGCCACTCTGTCGTATCTGTCAAACAAAGTGTCTCTAAGCATCTTTAAATTTCTCTTTTCCACTACTTCATTCTGTCTACAGGACAGCCATGTGGAGAGGAATTCTCGTTTAGCAAACAGAAACAAAGTTGCTATACTTGTATAACTATCTCACTGTCCTGGCAGCCTCTCCTCATATCATGGGTATGTTTTATAAAAAGCCAAGTTTCATCCTGTCTTACCCAGCCAGTTTTTATTGTTTCCCGTACCCTGCATATTCCAACCTAGCTGCAGCTAACTTGTTTTACAAAAAGCCAAATTTCTTACCCAGCCAGCCTTTATTGTTTCCCGTATCCTGCATATTCCAACCTAGCTGCAGCTAACTGATACTTACATTAGTATTTAGTTATAACATTTTTCAATTCCTTCAAACAAGGATAACAATGCTGTTCTTTACAGTCTGATCTAGCATAAGATATGAGATATACATAATATATGGTACCAACAGAAACAACAGGGTAGCATGTTCCCATATGATCTCACCACACATAAGTAACCATGAAAGATCATAATAATAATATGGAGGGAGACAAGAGGCCGACTATGAAGGACTTTAAGAGATGCCTTTTTTGTACTGGGCAAATACAGATTCAGAAATAAAGGGCCAACAACTGAGAGTTAATCTGCTATTGAAGAGGAGCAAAAGAATAAAGCACTGCATGAAAGAACTAAAAATACAACCTCAGTGACATGACATAATCCCATAATCATAGTGATTTGAAATCACCAATGAAATTGTTATCGAAGGTTGCAAGGTACAGCTCTTAATAAACAGTCAGTCTCCCCGCACCCAATCCTTGTCCTTTCCATGTGTGGTATTGTTTTGCTGAATTTGAATGACACACCGTCTGGCTTTCTTTTAAGTATCCAGATTGCTGAATTGGTATAATGCAATTCAGAGTGATCAAGATCTACTCTGAACCAAGCTGCCCCACTTCTAATTTGATCCAGACAGGTCCAAATCAAATCCTGATTCAGTTCAGGATTCAACAAACTAGTTGCATTGATGGTTGTTGTGGGTTTTTCGGGCACTCTGTCCTCTGAAGATGCCGGCCACAGAGACTGGCGAAACATTAGGAAGAACAACCTTCAGAACACGGCCAAAGAGCCTGAAAAACCCACAGATCCCAGCCGTGAAAGCCTTCACGAATATAGTTGCATTGACCTTAACTGGTTCTCTTTATAAACAGCTTCAACAAATAAATGTATTATTGGCAGAAAATTCTTTTGCTTAATTTATGTGTGCAGAAGACAAACAGCATTACATCCAATCACTACTCCTTGCTAGCAATTAACTAGTCATTGCTGGGATTTTCAAGCTCTTGCCAGGAATCCCAGAAGTGACTCATTAATTACCAGCTAGAAGTGACTGAATACAATTTGCTTTCCACATTAAGCAACAGTATTTCAGCTGTTGTTTTGCTCCAAAAATATGAATACCTTTGTTACCTTTAAATGTTAAATGTTACCTTTAGCAGTTGCCTGTAACTTGTTGATAAATACAGTCAGTTCTCGACTCTTATTCAAGGTTCTTTCTGTAGAATTGTTGAGATGCTCTCCTCTTTCCAATACGCTACTTAACTAGCATAAAAACAAATGGTGGATTTCTTTAAGATGCTTTTTAAAAAGAGGAGCTTTAAAGGCTGTACCAAAGAATGAAGATAATTGCTAGAACTCACAATGAATCATAAAAGTACCATTGCTTTACAAAATTAGTTTAGTTGATATTTTCTTGTTATTTTTTAATATTATAGATTCAGTTACATCCCACAGGAAAACTACAAACACAACAGCCAATTGTACATGTATTAACCACCGTTCCAAAAATCACTAAATTCTCTCTATATACGAGACAAATAATTTACATTTACTGTATATGGAATATTATTTTTAAAAAATACTATTGAGAATAGCATTATTGTAAATCAGTGCCAGAAAACATCTTGTAACAGCAAAACTGGTGGAAATTCTTCTTCAGTAAATACTAAAACTGAGTCAATTATTGTCATTTACATAAGCTAGCTGGTACAATTGAATGCATTGGCTTTAATGTGGAATGAAAACTAATTTAAGCTTACAGGTATGTTTCTTTAGGCTATTTTCCAAATAACCCCTGTGAAATGTCTATAGATCTAAAGTCCGTATGTTTAGATTAAAATTAAAGGCAAGACACTTACCTGTCTGTGCAGCTGGTCGGTATCACCTGACAGTGTTACAAGATGGTCATTCATGTTTTCCAATAAATAAGTTGGCTCTTCTTTAGCCCAGAAGGATCCCTAGAAGTAAAAGTAGGTATTCTTGGCTAGGTATGGCACATAGGGAACACTAGTACATATGAAGCAGCTTTATGCAGTGTCAGACCATGGCTGCTTTCAGGTACTCATATACACCAGGACTGGGAAACCTGTAGCTCTCCCCAAGTTCCTAGACATTTGGAGAGGTTCTCCTGAATATTGGATATAATGGCTATTGCTGCTGGATATGGCTTTCTAGCAGCATCTGAAGGGCCACAAATTGCCCACCTCTGGTCTACACTGACAGTGGCTTTCTAAGATTTCAGACTGCTTGACCTACAGATGCCAGAGACTGGCTGGTGCTCAGGACTTTTCAATGCAAGTATCAAATGACTCCGACCATAAATTCTAGATTTTAAAACATTGCAGGACACATTTGCTGAATAAATGTGGAGTCATAGTGGACTCAACAAGAAAACAACACTACTATTGATACATAGTACTGACATTTATTCAATGTAATTATAAAATATACTAAGATATATTCATCATCATTTTATCGATCAAATTAAACAATGACCAGAATCCTATTATGTTTCTGCATTGTAAGTCCAAAATTGTTGTAGGTTCAATCACTCCAGCTGTCTGTCATATGCTCAGATGTAAGCAGGCCTTGTTCGCCTGCCTGGGCATACAAGACGGTCAGAAGCCTGAAGAAAGACTTGCGTAAGGTCGCTCATATTCCTCTTATTTTACAAGATTCCAGAATACAATATATTCATAAAAACTTGGCATGCAAGCTAACAGAAATATGATTAAATGAAAAGTAAACTGACCTCTATCCAATTACACAATTTTAATTCAATCGCTTTCATTTCAATTTAATTATTTTCAATTCAGTTATTTCAATTCAATCTAGATGTTTATTCATATGACATCATACACATATTAAAAATATTAGGTTATACCATCAGTTTCTGGATACAAAATTGGATATTATTTGAAAAAGGATAAATTTTATTTGCAATAACATTTCACTGTGCAATTTCAAAAGACAGTCTAATAAGAGTGGTCAAAATGACCAGAATGGCGGGGTATAAAACAAACAAACAAACAAACAAACAAACAAACAAACAAACAAACAAACAAACAAACAAATAATCTAAGAAAAATAGTTCATTAACATCTGGAGGAATTCAGGTTCTGTATTCTAAGGGAAAATGGCTGCAATAATATATTCTCCATAAAAGGCAAAATAAATTGCAGAATCATATGCTAGTCCACAGAGTTGCCTCCATCAAATATAGCTTTGCCTGTTTCTTTGCCTGTTCAAAGGGAGGGAACAGGGTAAGATTAGCTTCTGGAATTGTATGTTTTCCAGATGCTTGTAACAATCTATTTCATTTCTTCTTGAACTGTCCTGTGATCTGTTGAGAATTCTATTTACTGGTTTTGGCATTGATTTTGTTTACCATTTTAAGTTTGGAATTTGTTTGGGGGGGGTGTGTGTGTGCGCGCGCGCGTGTGTGCGCGTGTGTGTGCGCATGTTGTTCCTTTAATTTGTTAGAGCAAGGAAGTTTTGAATATGATCCTCAGATACAGAAACTCTGTCTAACTGTGCTAGCCAGCATAATCAGAATAGGATCTGAGCAGATTTTATCAGGATACATGCCTATACAGATTGAATTATATAGGACATACTACTAGCTAGATAAACTGAATGGTGCTATTCAATGGACTTGTCCATGGCTTCTGACAGAGGGGAAAATTGCATTGCCCATTTATCCCACAGTTTGCAGTGAATTTGGCACAGGTGAACCTCAATTACAAACCACTGACTACACAACATACTGCAAAGCTAAGCACAGAAAAACCCAGAAGAGAGTCGTTCAATTAAGAGATGTGACTTATTTTGCTCCAATTCACCTGTCATTGCTTTTCTCTACTTTCTGCCCTGTGTAATCACATGATCCAATGCAGTGTCCCTCAACCAATTGCTTGATGTCTCCAAACAGTGTTTGTTTGTTTTAATGCTTTCCAAAGTCAGTGCTATGTCACTTTGGAAGGATTAAAAAGAAATAAAAAAGAAGGGAAAGGAAGAGGTGGTTCCAGTGGAAATAGCAGATTACTGAAGCAACTCCTGCTGTTGGAGACCCATACATGAGTAACTAGTGAACAGGATACTTGCCAGAATTGTTTCTGAACAGGGCAAATGTCTCTCTATTAACAGAGCTCCTTTGGGCATCATCTCCCTTTGGGGAAGTGCTTTCCTCTAAATACATGTGCACATTCTCAATAATGTTTTCATGAAACCCTTTACTTTGAAGAGAAAAAAACAATTACCCTAATAGTTAAGGGTGTATGTTTCAATATATGTCTGGATACTACATCTCTTTTTCTAGAAATTAAATTCCCTGCTGACTCCTGCTACATTAAAAAGGTAGTATTCACCTGGCTGGCTACAGTGACTTCACCCATGGAAACCAGTATTTGAAAAACTTTGAATCAAAGCAGGATTTTCCTGTGGTTTATTTGCACCCAGAACATTTTCATGTAAGATATTGGACTGAGTCCAAGCTTACACTTAGTCACTGTGAACCTACTGTAATCAATGGCACTTATATTGGTTAGATTTGCCATATTTTAGAAGAGCCCCATTATAAATCGATAGTTTTATTTCAATAGAACTGCTAAGTGTAACTTAATTTGAATCCAAATGATAAAATGTTTCCATTATTTTTCACTATTATTTATTTATTTATCTGGATCATATGTGAGCAATGTGTGGTCTCCAGATGTTGCCAACACTGCAACTCCCATGGTTCTCTATCATTTACTTTGTGTGTAGGGATAATGTGAGGTGGAGTACACCAACCTCACAATTCTTCCACCTTTAATTTGGATTAGTTTACAGACAGAAACACTAAAACAATATAACAAATAAAATATTCATATGTCATTGCAACACTAAAAGGAAGCATACATACTTTGAAATGTTTGGTTGCATTTTCCAGGTCTGAAAGTATCCCATAGGGTGCCAGAACAGAGCCAGTGAGGTTTACCAAAAAGATGGCTTCATCAAGATTATCTAGATCATTTAACAAGAGTCCTGTGCAGTCATCATCACAAGCTGAAGAAGGCATTTCAAAAACATTAGTTTCTGTTTAGTGCAGATATCTGTACACACAACTGCTTTGTCCTATAAATAATCCCAAAGCTAAGAGAGTCCAGACAATAAAAAATAACTGAAAATGAAAGTTGAATGTCCAAAAAAAATTCCCAAAACTATTTACTGACAAGATATAAAATGCTTACACACACACATACACACAAGCATAAGCCCTGTTTAAGTACTGTAACTACTATATGGGGGAAAAAAAGATTATTATAAAGAGGTTCTCCAGTGCTACCACTAGAGTCATGTCTAAGGACATCTACTTTTATTAAAATAACTTCACATATTTATATTTATATGCTATCTCTCGTCTAAGAAGCTCAAGATAGGATGCATCATTTTCCTAGCCTCTCAGCTCTATACAGCAGATGAAGCTGAAAAATACTAACAAGTCCAAGATCACCCACTGTGCTTCATGAGGGTTCTTCCCAGTCCAGCATACTGGCTCTTGTGTATATAGCTTTGATTACCTTTTATTGGCCATGGCTGTCTATAGTTTTATACCTTCCCCGCTTAGACATTTCATCTTTGACATTACAGCAAAAAGCAAATACAATGTAAAAGAATACATACATGCAAAGAAAAAAAAATTAAAAATTAGAGAAATAAAAGCCATAAAAGCCAAAAAATATAATCATCATAAAGGTATGCAAAGCAAAACATACTCCACAGATTCATTTGAAAATAAGTTCCACTAATATCCTAAGCATAATTGCTTTGGACAGTAGCCATATGCACAATTATACCTAAGCAGCATCAGAAAATTATTTTGCCTACTCATTTTAAAGGAACATGTAAGCTGCGTTTTAAAGGCACTTACAAACACATTCATCTTCCACAAGAATGTGTCTCGGTTCACACTCATCACAGAGATGCCCTGTTGTGCCTTCTTTACAGATGCACTGCCCAGAAATATGATCACAGTTATTGTGGACAGAACCATTTGGGTTGCACTGACACTGCTGACAGCTGCCACCAGGTTCTTTTGGGTTGCCATAATAAGTTGGAGAACACCTAGAAAGAAAAAAGAGAATTCAAACATTTGTTCAATATCTTGTCTTGCAAGACGGGGACATCCAGTAATACTGGCTGGCTTGGAAACCTCGCCGGGGGAAAAACTGAAATTCGCCTGAAAGACTGCAAAGGCTTGCTGAAAAGCTTGGTGGAAAGCTTAGAGGAGTTACTTGTGAAGCTTGGTGAGCCGGTGCGGGGGGGGGGACTGAGAAGTGCCGAAGTGGTCGCTGGAGCCTTGGAGTCCTGGAGTTGGGAGGCTCCTCGTGGGTCTCTACTAGGAGCTGGACCCGAGAGACTTGTTACGGAGCCTCATTCAGAGCTGAGAGGCTCATTGTGGGGTTTCGCTAACTACCATAGTGAGGGCTCTTCTCTTGTCCTCCCGCCATGAAGAATGACAATGGGAGTGTTATTTTGTCTATCAGTTCAATCCCTATTTCCATCTCTCCTTCTAATACTGGACCACGCTCTGCTCTTGAGTGAGTGTTTTATTTATAACCTCTGCTCTCATAAACTTATAAAACTTAAATTTAATATCAACAACCTTCTGGGAAGAATAAGAAAAAGACCTGCAGCCAGGATGCCATTTGTGTGTGGGGGGAGTAGAAATTGTGGGTTTACTTTTTATAGTTTATATTTTATTTTATTCATGGGTTTAATATTTTATAGTGTTTATGTGTATTGCTTTGTTTTATTTTTATCTTACGTTATATTACTTTATTTTGTCATATTAATTTTATTTATTTATTTACTTTATTGTTTTCTTTTTACTCCCTCTTTACTCACTCTTATTGAAACATGCACTTTAAATTAATCATTGTCCATGGATTGTTATTTAGTTTAATACTATTTCTATTCTTAATACTATTTCTATTCTTGTTATTTTTGTATTAATTTGGTTTCCTTTTGAGTGAGGGAGTAGCCATTGTATATAAAAACACCTTGGGGGTTGCTAGGCACTCCACAGTGGTAAATCTGGGTCTGGAGGCTCTACACATGTCGATAAGGGCCAGGGATGGTACTGGGATCTTGCTGGGTTACCGCGCTCTGTGCGACCCAGCCATTTCCTTACCAGAGCTGGCAGACTTAGTCTCCACGGCATTGCTGGGGTCCCCGAGGCTATTGGTCTTGGGTTTCTTCAACATACATGCAGAGGCAGAGATTTGAGTGAGGGAGTAGCCATTGTATATAAAAACACCTTGGGGGTTACTAGGCACTCCACAGTGGTAAATCTGGGTCTGCAGGCTCTACACATGTCGATAAGGGCCAGGGATGGTACTGGGATCTTGCTGGGTTACCGCGCTCTGTGCGACCCAGCCATTTCCTTACCAGAGCTGGCAGACTTAGTCTCCACGGCATTGCTGGGGTCCCCGAGGCTATTGGTCTTGGGTTTCTTCAACATACATGCAGAGGCAGAGATCTCTGGGTCAGCTCTTGAGTTCTTGGAAACCATGGCTTCCTTGAACATGTCCCAGCATGTCAATGGCCCCACCCACGTGGGTGGATATGTAGACCTAGTTTTTTCCACCAATTGGAGTGAGTGTGGTCTGATGGTGATTGATCTTGTGTCGGTCCCTTTGTCATGGTCAGATCACCACCTAATAAAATGTAATCTCTCAGTGGCTCTCCCCCCCTCGCAGGGAGCATGGACATATTTCTATGGTCCGCCCTCGAAGGCTACTGGATCCCACAGGATTCCATGAGAGGGATTTTTGCTGATCTGGCTGGTGCTCCTGTCGAGGCTCTGGTGGATGGCTGTTATACCGCCACCACCAGGGCTGTAGACGTGACTGCTCCTAAACACCCTCTTCAACGCAGAGCTCGGCTTGCGCCCTGGTTTAATCAAGACCTATGAGCGAAGAAGCAATTTAGGAGAAGGCTAGAGCGCAAGTGGAGAAAGAACCCAACAGATTTAAATTGGATAGCTGTCAAGGTCACAACTAACCTTTACCATGCCAAGGTAAAGGCTGCCAGCCATGTACATCTCACTAACCGGATAAGCAAAGCTTCAAACCAGCAGGTGGAGCTTTTCCGTATAGTGCGCGACCTATCCAGAATTGGTCTAAGTGACAGGCTTCCCCCTATATCTCACTGGAGCAATCTGCAACATTTTTTAAATCTAAAGTGGAGGCCATCCGCCTGGATCTCTCTCCTTTTTTGACACAGTGGAACGAGCAGAGATGTCCAGCACTCCGCCTTGCCCGGTGAGACTCAACCTCTTTCAGGCTGTGACGCCAGATTTGGTGGACAAAGTGCTTAATCACTGTTGGGCCTCCTCCTCCTCCTCCCTTGACCCTTGCCCGGCCTGGCTAATCAAAGCAGCCAGGCCTATAACGTGGAGGCCATCCACCGGGAGCACTCTCCTTTTTTGAATACAGTGAGTCGAGCTGAGATGTCCAGTGATATGTCTTGCCTGGTAACTTTCGATTCCTTTCATCCTGTGACACCTGATACTATGGACAAGGTGCTTAATTACTGTCAGGCCTCCTCCTCCTCCTCCCTTGACCCTTGCCCGGCCTGGCTAATCAAAGCAGCCAGGCCTATAACCAAATGGGACATTGTAATAATTAATGGGTCTCTCCTTGAGGGCAAAGTTCCTCCTGCTCTCAAGGAGACACTCATTAGGCCCATAAGGAAGAAACTTAGTTTGGCAGTGGATGAAATTGGCAATTATAGGCCCGTTGCCAACGTTTTATTCATTAGCAAAGTGGTGGAGAGGGTGGTGGCTGATCAGCTTCAGGCTCATTTGGATGAAACAAATGCCCTGGATCCATTCCAGTCCGGTTTCAGGCCACACCATGGTACAGAAACAGCATTGGTCGCCCTGTATGATGACCTATTGAGGGAGGCTGACAGGGGTAAACTACCTCTGTTGGTCCTCCTCGACATCTCAGCCGCTTTTGATACCGTCGACCACGGTATCCTCCTTAGGAGGGTCTTTGAGTTGGGAATTGGTGGCCTGGCGCTTGCCTGGCTTTGATCCTTCTTGGAGGACCATCCTCAGAGAGGACATCTTGGGGAGAGGGTCTCAGCCCCGTGGAGCCTCAATTGTGGGGTTCGGCAGGGCTTGATTAACTCCCCAATGCTGTTTAATATCTACATGAGGCCGTTGGGTGGGGTCTTCAGGGGGTGTGGAGCATTGTGCCATCAGTACGCTGATGACACCCAGCTCTACATCTCCTTTTCACCAACTGTAGAGGATGCTGTTCTGTCCCTTCAGCGTTCTTGGAGGCTGTACTGCAATGGATGCAGGAAAATGGGCTGAGGTTGAACCTGGACAAGACGAAGGTGCTGAGGGTGGGTGGCCCCACCATCAGCGGTTTGGGAAACTCCCTCTCATTTGGGGAGGTGACTCTCACCGCGAAGAGTGAGGTTTGCAGCTTGGGGATTCATCTGTACCCGGTGCTCATAATGGAAATGCAGGTGGCATCAGTGGTCCGTTCCGCCTATTTCCATTTTTGATGGATTGCCCAGCTGCGTTCCTATCTTGATGATGGGGCACTCACCACTGTGGTACATGCACTTGTAATCTCGAGATTAGATCATTGTAATGCACTCTACGTGGGGCTACCTTTGAGGTTGATGCGGAAGCTCCAAATGGTGGAGAATGCAGTGGCCAGACTCCTTAGTGGAATGAGAAAATACTATCATATCACTCCCACTCTGGCCGCTTTGCATTGGCTGCCCATTCGGTTCTGCATTGATTTCAAAGTATTAATGCTTACGTACAAAGCCCTAAATGGTTTAGGGCCTCAATATTTGGCAGAACATCTACTCCCACCAAAATCTACCCGTATCACTCGATCTAGCCAGGAGGTGAGGTTGAGGATCCTAACGCCGAGGGAGACCTGGAAGGAAAAAACAAGAAACCGGGCCTTCTTGGCAGTAGCTCCTCGCCTTTGGAATAAACTCCCTCCTGAGATTCGTATGGCCCCTTCACTGGGCATTTTCAAAAGCCAATTGAAAACTTGGCTGTTTAAGCAGGCCTTCCCTCCAGTCACTATTTGATTTATTCTTTTTTTCTTTCCATTTTGAACAATTAATTATTGATGTTGTATATTGATATTGTATTTGAATTGTTTTATTTTTAAGTGTTGTTAGCCACCCAGAGTGGTCAATTGACCAGATGGATGGGATATAAATACAATCAATCAATCAATCGAGCAAGTGGCTTTTGCCCAAGCCATCATGAAGTCACAATTAATGTGCCATATTTTCACTTCAACCTTCACCTTTACTCCTGCATGCAATATGCCTGGCAATTGACGCATTTCCAGGTCTGTACTTGGAAGGACTGAAGAATTCTACATTATCTGTAGAATGCCACAATGGAAATTTTGGGGAATTTTGAGAAATCTGAGAATTGCTATGACTTCCTGAGATGCTAAATCCTCTTCAGCATACTGTACACTTGTACTGTATTCTTAACCATGGTGAGCTAGGAAACAAGTATACTTTGGCCTGATGATAGCCTGACTGAAGATCAAACCAATGTTCAAAGCAATGTGTGTTCCCTCCAGGTAACCCATTTTCATGGCCTTTCATGAACAATGGATTTTCCCCAGCAATCTACACTTCAGCAATGAGACTTGCAGAGTTGCAAATTAATCCTATGTCTATCCTTTAAATATCAATCACAAAACCAAGCATGCTAAATAAGAAGCTAAGAAAAATAGACATCTTTCAACACTTGAGGGAGCACTTTTTTTACATATATACTCAGCATATGGTCTACCCGGACACTGAGTAACCCAGACTATGTCCATTTAAAACTCAGGCTAAATATGTTACAATCTTACCTAACATGCCCATGAGAACTTAAGGGAGAAAGACAACTTTATCCAAAGCTGTCCTGGGCCCATGGACATCCCCCACAGTACGATGGAAGAAAGAGTAACATTTTCCTCCTTTTCCTCCTACTTGTTTCTTTTATATTTTTAGTCCCATTGCAACCAATTGGCAAGAAATTATGTATCCTTGTTCCAGGACTGACATACATTTCAGTCTAGTACGTGGGTGTTTGGAAATCAGAAGATTCAAAGCCCCCATCCCCTGATGTGTCAACAACTGACACATCCCTAACAGCCCTACCAACATCAAAGCTCTGGCACTGAAAAAATGAAGATAGCAGGGGTTTCTACAGAGGGGGCATATGACAACAGCTTTCCCTTTCAATGGTGGATTGTGTTTAGGTCTGGGAGCACATAAACCCTTTAGAACTCAAGTACATGACACATTTGTTGCAAACTTTTTGATTATTCTTTGTCTCTCACCTTTCACAGTATTGCCCTTCATATCCAGTGATACAAGCATTGCAGTGGAAATCATTAACACCTTTCATAATGCAGGTAGCACTAAAGCTTGAAGAAGGAAAGAAAAATGAACAGAATTTAGTGAGAATTCATACATTCTGGTTAGAAAAACCCTTTACATATGGGGAAAGGTTAAGCTCATCCCTTCTCCCTTTCATGCTATTTTTCTCCATATTTATGCATCAAGGAATATTAAAAAATGCATTGCTCTTTCTCTTGCTGCCTAAAGAGCCATCCACTGGGTGGAAAAGGTTTAATATTTAGTTCTATCATGCAAACTGGACTGTAGGAATAATACCTAATGTATGGTCACTGTAGTAATAATGCCTAATGTACAGTCAATGTTCTGATCTTGGGCTACAGTACATTAGCCTTTTCACCATCTGCCATCATTATTGTTTAAGTTACCCACACTGAGCAGTATATGAAATAATTCCTGTTAGTCCAGATTTTACAATTCTTCCAGAAATACAACCAACAAAAACTTCTATCACTGCTGCTGCACCAGTGTACTAAGTAAACATAACACCAGTAATTATTAAAAACATTCAGGTTAATTTTCTGTTACCTCCCAGGGCTTATTCTTGGACACGCACACAGCGAACAATCATTGACAGATCCAGTCACTTTCCCGTAATAGCCTGGGGCACAAATATTGCAGTGGTCACCAGCTGTATTATCTCTGCAGTCCTAGTAGGCAAAATTCAGAAAATTTCAAACCAAATCAAGAATTAAAAACCTCTCTAGCCAATATAATGCTGCTGCTGTTTTTGTTCTATGCCATCATTAATGTTAATGCTATTTGTCATGATCATGGGATATGTGGTTAGAAGTGTGTCATGATAGTTGGATATATAGTCAGAGAAATGTAAAATGGAGTCAGATAGGTTCTGTGTGAAGATGATTTGAAGGACTTTGGAATGTTTTTTTTCTAAATGCCATGAGAGTGTTTTCCTGAGGACAGTTACAGCCAGGAATGAGAATGCTGCATCTTAAAGGGCCTCTTGAAGGCCAAACCAAGAGGCCCTGGAAGACGCAACATTCTATGCAAGTCCCTAGACCACAACACCTGCACTCTCGTGGGAATGGGGGGCAGAGAGAGGTGGCACAACCTCTAAAAATTTAATCAGTTAACAGTCTGAAAGGCCCAGAAGAAGGGAGGAGTTAGGAGGGCAGAAAATGGAAGATGGGTTATGTGAAATGCGTTCAATTGTGTTCAATTATTCCTGATGATGGATTCTACCCTGATGATGGTATGAGCATGTAGCTTGAAGGAATGAGGATGTAAGTAAAGGAGAAAGCAAGAGGGGGGGGCTAGCCCACTATAGCCCACCATAGCCTCTGTCGTTTAGCTTTGTAGTTTTATTATTTTTAATGGGAAATAGTTATAGCTATTTTATTTAACTGCAATGGTCTTTGAATATGTTCTTGAGTGCTATTGCTTTTGCAGTATAAACTGATTTCTAATGAAACTTTATTTTTCTAATAAAAAATTTAATCATAATATTCCTTGTTGAGGACTGGTCTCTTGAACAGCAGGGTCTGGCTAAATCCAGTAAGGGAGAGGGCCACAAACTAGATACATTTAAGAGTCCTACCTCACTGAGCTGTTGTGAGTTCTAAGGAATCACAAAGCCCATGTGCCTGTTCTTGCTAAGTACTAAGTGTGGCCAAAGTGTTCTTTTTAGGTCAGACTTGTTCAAAGGGCTTATGCTATGCACTGCTGTGGTCTAGGGACTTGACCCAGCGAGAAGGTGGTAGCTAAACGCCATCCGAACTCTCTGGCCGCATGCCCAACAATTTTTTAGGAGGCCATGAGCATGACATGGTGGAGTGGTGGGATCAACAATCTGAGCTGCTGAGAGACCATTCTGTTGAAATCAGTTTATATTATTTTGCTAAGGCAGAGTAAGGCAGTGGCAGCGAGAATTCCCACAAGTGTTCTGTGGAAACTGTCAGCTTTGCTTAGGCAAGGTGGCAGAGAGGTGTTCTCTGAGCTGTCAACTTTTGCTGACACTGGTGTGTGAGGAACATACATCGAAAACAATTGTAGACCACCGTCTTGCTCAGATGGACAATGGGAGCAGGTATGACTCTTGATTTCTTAAATCTAATTCATTTGTGGGTGATTAATCAATTAGCTTCAAAAATTACAGCTTTGGTTGATTGAGGCTGAGATACTAAGTAAGCACACGTACTTGAAGTAAAGTTCCACTGAATTCAGAGCAATCCATTTTTCTCTACTGGCAGTCCACAGTGGGGAGTTTCAAACTGTGTCATTTTGGAATGAGCCTTTTCAGACTAGCCACTCTCTACAAACTTTAACCTTTAAAATGTACTTGTATCTGAGTACTTGTATCTGAGTCTTGCTGTCATTTGTGTGTGTGTGTGTGTGTGTGTGTTGGCTTTTAAATTGTAAACCTTTTGTTTGTTTAACCGACTTGGTTACCCTTTTCCATTGAGGAGTAGAATCACAAAAATGATTCCCCACCCTCACCACCATGGAGTTTTGATACAATGATGAAATAAACATATCATTGAAGGCTCACATACCAAACACTTTCCTGTTTCTGGGTCACAGGTATCACCATGGTTGTTGCACTCGCATGGTACACAACGGGGGCCTAGCATGGACAGTGCTTTTGGGTGTACGTCTCCGTGTTTATCCCTGTAGTAGCCTTGTGCACAGTCCTATATGCAGGAATGGAGTGACATATAATGGTAAAAAATGCAACAGGATTTGCTTGTTCAGTAATCAGAAAATATTTTCAGTGAATGAACCCCTTTGCTAAAACTCAACATACCTGACATGAAAGCCCTGCATAACCTATAGGGCACAGGCATTTCTCAATGTGATAAGCTGTTTCTCTGACCAAGGGCACATCTTCACCTTTCATGGCAATTTCCATGGAGATATTTGAGATTCTATAAAACATGTGCATAAAACCAAAATGCTGATATAGTGATGTTTATTTAAGAAACAAAAGTTACAAAACTGGCTGTTAGAGCAAACAGTCTACAGAAGAAGAAGTAGTAGAAGTAGAAGTAGAAGTAGAAGAAGAAGAAGAGGAGGAAGAAGAAGAAGAAGAGGAAGAAGAAGAGGAAGAAGAAGAAGAAAGCAGCTTCTCAGTTTTTTGGACCATGGTAGACAATCCACGTCTAGACAGCACTAGTAGTGTGTATATACAGTGCATACACAGAGAGAAAGAAGCATGCAAGCACACACACTTAGTCCTATCTAGACATGGATTGCCTATCCCATTTCTAGAAACTGAGAAGTTGCTTCTTCTTCTTCTTCATATATGTGTGTGTGTGTGTATCTCTTTTGCTATATCTCAGCTATATATATTTATGTAACCCACCCAGCGAGCCTTTTCCATTGAGGAGTAGGTTACATAAATATATATATACAGCATAGCTAGGAACAGTTACTTTCTTGACTCCAGCTCCTACAATCCCCCAGCCAACATGGCCACTAGAGATAATTTTTCCAAGCTTATTTGGAGCGTATGTATGTGTAAAGAGAGGGTGGAAGGATGGGAATGCAGAAAGAAAACTCTGTGTCATTCTCATTATATCACACACTGAAAGAGTCCAATGACCAAAAGTTGCCTCCTCCCTACTCTATAGTGTATCAGGGTCCTACTAATTTAGCTCTAGGTGTATTTTTAAAAAACAATGTAAATGCTGGGTCGAAGAATGTTTCAGATGGCTCAAGCACCTCTTTGTATTTTTTTGCATCTAATATCTACTTCCAATCACAGTTTCTCTTCTTGCATTTAAAGCTACTCAGAAAGGTTCCTTTTATCTTATCAGAGGCTCTTTAGCTGTGTAGCCAAGGGAGGCAGAGTACATCTCAGGGACAGTGTATAACACCGAAATGTCCCTGGAAGTGCTTTCTTTTAAAAGTAATGTTTTGGCTTGAGATGTCTACACGTTTAGGGGTGTGGTGTGTTTTAGGAATGGACAGTGGCATTTTCAGAACTAAAAGAGACCATCAAAACACAGGGACAGATGCTACCCTGAGCCTCTTGATGTAGCCATTGAGAATCATCCATAACAAGACAATACTCTTGCTGTTCTAACTTGTATATTACCAACACATACACAAACAAACAAACAAACAAACAAACACTCTCACTCTCTCTCTCTCATTCTCTTTTGACACACATGATACACACACACACACACACACAGACACACATGACACACACACACACCCCACATGAACACATAGAGTGGACAATTTTACCTGCTCTGCTGCAATCCATGACCATATGATGCCTTTATCAGTATATATTCAACATTGCTCAATACTGACATGAAGTCAGAATGTGAGACAGATTCATCAGAAACTGAGTTGAAATACTTCCAGGCATTCTATAAAGGAAAAAAGTTGAATTAAATCAATTTTGAGAGTACAATAAGAGAGTATGCCTGTGTAAATTTGATTTATTTTGGTTCATTATCTGTCATTTGTATATGCACTTTATGTGCTCATGGAATACAAAATTATGCAAAGACGAGAAAAGACTAGCAACGTCCACCCCTTGATTATAACAGGAAGCAAAGATACTATCAGGTTTCTCTTCACTTGCAGTCTGAGCCTGGCAAGTCAAGAGTTACATATTATGAGGGACAAACAAAGCAGTGTTGCACAAGTCACTCCAGGTCTAAAACTACCATGATACAGTTGAACATGAACAAAGTTGAAAAGAGAGTATTTTTAGATTGCACATTGGCTTGAATCCAAAGGGTCCTAGTACCTCACATCTAGAAAAAGGCTGCCTACTGATGAATGTGAGCCTAAAAAAAGAGTTTACCCCATTTTGCAAGCACACTGGATTTTCTTAATGAAATGCAAGCACTTTTGAGACTGGTTTCCTTCTAGCTCTTTGGTGCATTCACTATGTGCATCCTTTCCATTTTTGGCTTAGGAGCCAAAGACACCTGTCTTCTAGCAGAAAGCCTCCTCTGCTCCACAAAGTGGAATGACCTGAGACCCAACACATTACTCATCTATATGAAATCACAAACAAGAGTTTGCAAAAGTCAATCTCACGATCTTTTTAAGGAATGGCTACAGTTTATGTCTTACGGTCTGTATCCTCCTGATTCATCATGCACTGCATCACAAGCCTGATACGTTATGGCACTCTACTGCAAGAGGTTCTTCACTAATGCTTGTGAAGGAGCTCATCAACAGCAGTAAGATGTTTTCCTCTGCTACTCACAGTTCTCTGGATTCAATACCAAACTTTGAACAGGGCTTATATCCTAACTATTTGTAACCTGCACAATCCCACTGAGCATCAGCTTCACTAAACAGAGCTGAAGAGAAATGTAGCCCAAAGTGTTTTAAGGGTTCAATATGGGAATGCCTGAGCCACAAATTCTAAACAAGAGTCTTGACTAAAGATTAGAATGTTATTTTCAATTTTAATATTCAACTTTGGAGTGCTTCACCTATTATATGTAAATGACAGGGTACACGATAAATTCACATCACGTTAAGTGAATGGTTCTGAAACAAACATTTGGAGAATTCCAAAGTGTTTAGGAAATTCACAAAGAACCATTCCATTTATTTAAAAAAACCTTCTAACAGAATAAGCCTCTGCTTGCCTGAGTCGAAGAGTTTAGTCTCACCTCCATCATTGTTATTTCTTCATCCTGTCTTACTCCATTTGCTGGAGCAGGAATGTCCACATAGATGACAAGTCTACTGGTGTGACCTCCTTTCATCAGGATCTGTGGTTCAAGGTTTGAAGTTCCAATGCCATCCACAGCATAAAAAACTGCTGAATATTTCAGTTTTCCACCATAGGCCATGAGCTGTTTGGAGGATTAATCATTACACTCAGTTTTTCAGAAACATTTCCTGGAGAATTTTCATTAAAATGCAGATCAACAGAAGGTGATGTCTGTATTAACATTCAGTAACAGGCCTTTCCCTACAGACCCCAAGCCTTTGGGGGGTTACAAAATAAGTTGAGTTTTGGAATCAAAAGAGGATGGCAGGTGCTCTTCCACTCCCCAAGAACACTGCAAATGGACTGAACTCAAAAATACTAAGTGACGCGAGAAGTCTTTTAAGAACTCTTTTGCTTCCTTAGGAACAGAGAGGCCCTGGACTATTACTGGACATTAGCTTCAGATCCTCCTAACGTGGTTTTTGTTACAATTTGATAGGACTCTCTTGATCTTGGCTCTCTTCTCTGATTCTGTTTTTAGTTCCTGATTGCTTGATTCAACTTTTGTAATGTATAACTGTGTTACAGGAACCCCATTCATTGAAGAACAGGACAAGATTTTTTTTTCATAATTCTGATATAATACGACACAAGCAAACCTAAACCTATAATCCAGTCACAAAATACACAAATATAGAATATTTTTTTGGCAAAGGTAGCCCATGATCAGTGAAATATTGAAAATATTATAATAATAAGGACTAACATTTCTAAATTGTTTTCATTTCTGATTAAAAATGTCAGATGAGTGGACAAATCACTGTCAGTAAAAACTGAAACAAAATAAACCATGACAGTACCTCATGTACTTACCTGGTTTCCCTGGAATTGATAGGGTAATTTCCAGTAAAATGGCTCTGTATTCAAGTGTTGTCTGACTGTTGTGGCATCAATTAAGATATCAGGATACTGGGAAAATATGCCTTCGGTGGTTCCAGTGAGGTTACTGAGAGAAACCACGTACAAAGCAGGCTGCTCTAGATCCAGAGTTACCTGCAATACCAAACTAAGAAGTCACCCCACCTCATAAAATGTACTAGATTTTGCTTCAAGTTTAAGCAAGATTTCTAATAATTTTTTTCAAATAAAAAAATAACTTCTACACTTAGGGAAGGTTTTATTAAAATATGCTATACTCTACTATTATAAAATACTTTATAGGTTGATGATGTCAGATAGAAATCCATCTATTCACTATATTCCTTCCTATTATACATCTGATTCACCTTTTCCTTAGATAATTTGATTAGACATGTGAAAGTCAGGAAAAGCAAGTCAGGAAAAGCAAGGAGGTGCTGAGAAAGAAGAGTTAAAAAACCAGAGACAGTTCATGACAGGAGCTGGTATAACACCCTCGAAACACAAACTTGGGGCTAAAGTACCCCCTCCTGCTTAGACAATGAGCAATCCCAAGACAGAGGTTTAAAAGGTGAGATCCCAGGCTTGCTAGCAAACCGTACTGCCAAAAGATGTTGCTACTACATCCTTCAGCCAGTTTCCAGGCAGCTTAGAAATGTTTGCAACAATATACTAAACAACTAATGTATATCTTGATGGTGAAACAACTAAAAGAAATCCCAAGCACATACAGTGTTAACAATACTTCCTAGTATTTTGGAGGGGGGAGGGATTTGCCACCAATTTTTCTATTATGAAAAAAAAAAGTTGATTGTTGATCACATGACAGCAAAATTATGTGGAAACATAAGAGAAAATTCAACAGAAGAGATGAAAATGCTTTACTAACCGGAACTCTCACATGCCCTTCTACTTCTGAACAAGACTCTGATATCCCAGAGCAAAAACATGGAATGCATCCCAAAGGATTAACAGCATGAAGAGCAAAGGTCCCAGTTTTACATTCACTGCAGTGCAATCCAAACACATTTTCCTAACAAAGAAATAAACTGTTAGTAGTAATAGGGGCTTAAATGCTAGTCCTTGACAGAGCAGTCATTTAGCCGCCTAGAGTGGTCCTGACCCGACCAGACCA